GCTTATATGAAGATAATAACACATAATGTGTATGGTATTTATTTCTCAATACAGGTTGCAGATTTTGGTTCGTTGGAACTCTCCCCAGTCGATGGCCGGACTCTAACTGATTTTATGCACACAAGAGGTCTTCGGATGCGCTCTTTAGGATATGTCGTAAGTAGCCTTGTTTTAACTTAATTTTTCTTAGAATCTAATGTAGATGAATGATCATATTTAACCATCCACGTTTTATCTACGGTAACAACAGGTTAAGCTCTCAGATAAGTTGTCACATGTACAGTCTCTCTGTGTTCATGAGATGATAGTTAGAGCCCTTAAGCATATCCTTCAGGCGGTGATTTCTGCTGTTGCTGCTGACACTGACAAAATAGCTGCAAAAGTAGCTGCTGCTCTGAACATGATGCTCGGGATTCCAAAAACTGAAGCAGAAACACCACATAACTCTTGGAATGTACATCCTCTTATCTTCCGGTGGTTGGAGAAATTCTTGAAGAAACGATATGACTATGATCTCAATGCCTTCAGTTACAAAGATCTACGAAAGTTTGCCATTCTCCGTGGATTATGCCATAAGGTAATAATTAATGCTTTAACCAGAAAATTTTATTGAGTAAATTAACTAGTCGCTAATCAACTATTAGATTGAAAGTTTATGTTTTTGTGTTAAATTTTATATGTCATCAGGTTGGTCTTGAGTTGATTCCAAGGGATTTTGACATGGAGTCCCCAGAACCGTTCCAAAAAACAGATGTGGTCAGTCTGGTCCCAGTGCATAAGGTAATAGACAAGATGAAAGATATTTAATTTTTTCTATCTGAATTTGTATTCCTTCTAATAATATATCAACCATAGTTGCTCATACTTTCTATTCTAAATCTCTGCAGCAAGCAGCATGTTCATCTGCTGATGGAAGGCAACTTCTGGAGTCATCTAAAACAGCATTAGACAAAGGAAAGCTTGAAGATGCAGTTACATATGGAACAAAGGTAAATGTCCGGAAAATCCGTTTCCTACTCCTCAGCCATTTCTTCATATTACTTTTGTTTCTCTGTACAGGCGTCATTGATTTGTTTGTTGTTTCGTCTCTTTTGTTTTTCCTCCTCCCCTAGGCTCTTGCTAAGCTTGTAGCAGTTTGTGGTCCCTATCACAGAATGACAGCTGGAGCTTACAGTTTACTTGCTGTAGTTCTATATCACACTGGTGACTTTAACCAGGTCTGTATATATACCGTTAGGCTGTGACATTTTTCTTCGATATGGCAATTGCAAAACTAAAAGATTTTGTTGAAACAGGCTACTATATATCAGCAAAAGGCTTTAGATATCAATGAGAGGGAACTTGGACTTGATCATCCGGATACAATGAAGAGTTATGGTGATCTTGCTGTCTTCTATTATAGGCTTCAGCATACAGAGCTGGCTCTCAAGTAAGTTACCAGTTTAATTTTCAAAGAACTGGGGGGTTTAATGGTTTGGGTGTCTATTTCTATCATCTAAACTCTGATATTCTTGCTTTTGTTAGGTATGTTAAGCGTGCACTGTATCTCTTACATCTAACATGTGGTCCATCTCATCCGAACACTGCTGCTACATACATCAATGTAGCCATGATGGAGGAAGGTCTAGGAAATGTACATGTTGCCTTGAGGTATCTTCACAAAGCTCTCAAGTGTAATCAAAGGTTGCTTGGTCCTGACCATATCCAGGTTCTTTCCCCGATGCTCTGTGTTTTTTGGGAACATCACTTTGTAAGAACTTTGATTTGTTTTTGCTAATATATTGCTGCTAATTATGTCAAATTTCAGACTGCTGCAAGCTACCATGCCATTGCCATTGCGCTCTCGTTGATGGAAGCATACCATTTAAGTGTTCAGCATGAGCAAACAACCTTAAGAATCCTCCGAGCAAAGCTGGGCCCAGATGATTTGCGTACTCAGGTATATATATATATATATATAACCAAAATATCCCATCAGGCAAATCATTCATCTTTCTAACAATTGTATGCATTCTTAAATCTGACGATCTGATTATATTTTTCAGGATGCTGCTGCTTGGCTAGAATACTTTGAGTCCAAGGCTTTTGAACAACAGGAAGCTGCACGAAATGGTACTCCTAAGCCTGACGCGTCTATAGCCAGCAAAGGCCACCTAAGGTCAAACAAGTTCCTTAGATATTGTATCTCCTTATTTCTCGTTTGTAATTTTTCTATGCTGTTTAAATATATCAATCAAGTGCAGATCCTTAGCTTCATAATGTTTTGCAGTGTATCCGATCTACTCGACTATATCAACCCAAGCCATAACGCAAAAGGGAAACAGAGTGTCGCAGCAAAGAGGAAGAGCTATATTATGAAGGTTTAACTTTTATTTCTTGACATTTCTTCACTTTAATGGTTAAAAATCCTTACATGCTTGGAACTGTTTATGTGTAGCTAAAGGAAAAATCCAATCAGAACAATGTTTCTGAACAGTTAGCAGACACCCCAAGGGAAAATCAAAAGGAAATGTCTGAAGAGGAGACAGAAGCAACTGGATCAGAAGATGGTCAGTCAAGCGATGCAAATCAGGAAACAATTCTTGCACCAGCTGAAGAACCACCTTCTCCTCCAGTCATTGATGAGGCTATTATGGATAATAGTAATCCAATTACATCTACTGACGTTTCAGCTGAGACAGAACACCCTGATGGTAGTGAAGATGGATGGCAACCGGTGCATAGACCGAGATCTGCTGGATCATATGGTCGCCGGCTGAAGCAACGACGAGCATCAATTGGAAAGGTATATACGTATCAGAAGAAAAATGTCGAAGCTGATATCGATAACCCTGTTTTCCAGAATGCCACTCAGCAGAACACGAAATACTACATTCTGAAGAAGCGTACAGCGTCATATGCAAACTATGCAGATCATCATTCTCCCGGTATGGCAACTCAAGGCACCAAATTTGGCAGGAAGGTTAAAACCTTGGCCTATCGGGTTAAATCAATGCAGCCGTCTTTTGATAACCCCAAAACTGCTGCTGAAACATCAGAAGAAGATGGGCTGAAGACGGATACTTCTCCTGTTGTGCCATCTAGTATGTCTAGTAATGTGCAAAATGAGGCATACCCGAAAAACTCTGTTGTGAGTCTTGGAAAATCTCCATCCTACAAGGAAGTAGCATTGGCACCGCCTGGTTCCATTGCCAAGTATCAAGTCTGGGCTCCACAAGCCGAAGCTTCAGATAAGCAAGAAGAGGATCATGTGGAGAAAACGTCTGAACAGAACACATCGGTAGAGCTTTCAAGGGATGAGCAGATGATTACAGTGTCAGAGGAAGAGGTAAAAAATGTAATTTCTGCGGACACAGAGTCGAGCAAACCTCAAGGCAAAGAAGAGATCGAAGTAGAGTTGCAATCATCTGAAGTGGAATTCAAAGGAAACAATCTGAATGAAAATGAAGAATCTGGTGGGAGCATTCAGGTGGAAGAAGCAGTACTCGAAGCTCCACTGACAGACGAAGATAGAACAGATATGATTAGTTCCACCACGGAGCAAGAAGTGAAAGATCAGCTGGCTGCTGATTCCGATGATCTGAAGGAAAAATTGGGAATCTCTGCTACAGATTCTAGCGACGCCCCGCGAGAGTTACTGTTACCTAACAAGAAGTTATCAGCTTCCGCTGTGCCATTCAACCCATCATCACCTCCAAGTATCATACGTCCTACTCCAATAGGAATGAACATTGGACCGTCGTGGCCCGTGAATATGACTCTTCATCACGGACCTTCTCCTTTCCCTTCACCTCCTACAACTCCAAACTTGATGCAGCCAATGTCTTTTGTATACCCTCCTCCTTACACTCAATCAGTACCCACAAGTACTTATCCTGTAACCAGTGGTCCTTTCCACCCCAATCAGTTCCCATGGCAGCTCAATATGTCAGAGTTTGTACCAAGAACGGTTTGGCCCGGATGCCATCCCGTTGAGTTTTCCCCTCCACACATGATCACTGCCGAGCCAATACCTGCAACTGTGTTAGAGCCAACTGTGATTCTACCAACTGATATTGACACATCAGGTGTGGAAGAAGGCAAGCAAGATGTGGCGGATGAAGCTATGGCTTCTGTGAATCATGTGAATGCAGTGGCTAACAGTGAAATGGAGAATGGAAACAAGAAATTTGAGGATGGCGAGAAGACTTTTAGCATTTTGTTAAGAGGAAGGAGAAACAGGAAACAGACACTGAGAATGCCCATCAGTTTGCTTAACAGGCCTTATGATTCTCAACCGTTCAAGATTGCTTATAGCAGAGTCATCAGAGGCAGCGAGGCTCCCAAGTCCGCAGCTTAAAAACCAAAAGACAGCAACGTGGATGAAATTCATCACTCACACACATCTCTCTCTGCTCCTTACTGTTTCTTAGGGGACAGTATAAAAGGTTAGCTTCTTGGTTGAATCTTTTATATACGTATACATATGTATAATGCATATATTATAACTTGATGATGTCTCATTTTCAGGTAAAAATTTCGTTATCAGTGAAGCTGTGGCTTGTGATAGTCTCAGAATGATTTGATCTGGATTCTAAGAGAAGATAGGTTGAAGAGGGAAAAAAAAGACACGACTATTCTTTTTCTTTTATACCACGTGAGGTGAGGTGAGTTGATGATGTAATATTTTCTGGGTTTAAATTTTTTCAGCCAATAAAAAACTAGGAAATTTTGGACATAATTTTTTTTCATATCCCCATTATGGCCATGTTTAAGAACTTTTGTTATCTCGTTCACTTTACGTATTTGTCATCAATTACATCTAATGGCTTACTATGAAACATGGTAATTATAATTTATAAACTTGTTTATTGAATCAGTTAATAGATGATAGTAGTACCTCTGAATAAACTCAAGATGAGTTTTTCCCAAAAATAATAGTAATAATATGAATAAAAAGAAAAAAAAGTAACAACTAAACATGCAGAGCCACCGTGTCCTCCGCTTTCAAACCATTGAAGTTAAAATGGATTAACGACAACCGCCGGTGGATCTTCCCGGAGAAGGGCAATGTCGTCGTGATAACTTACAAACGGGTTTTCACCTTCAAAATTACCGGGTGGGTTATAAACACAAATGGCATAAAAGCCGCCGTCTGAACAATTCACACGTGCGCACCCAACCTTGGTGCTATCTCTCCACACGATCTGAGTGTAATGTCCACACATTTGCCCCGGCTCACACGTGTTACCATTAACGTCGTAGAACTTATTCTCATCGGCCCACACTTTAACGACATCCATGGGCTTCCAGTTAGTCTGTCCAGCCCAAAATATGTTTTCTCCGAACGGACCATTGGAGTGAACAAGCCTGCAATCCCCGACGCGCTGTCTCGCCCATGCGCGTGCATACGCCGCTAATCTTCCATCCCATTGTAACGGAGGTTCTCCCACGCGCGCTCGTACGAGGTTATGTGCGAATAGAAACTCAATGCTCTCTCTGCTTACTCTGTAACGATGTCGTCTTCTACTCCACCACCTGAAGGAGGAATGTTTTCCGGTTAACGACAGTGCTGATGACGACAGAAATCGACTGTTTGGCGCTGATGGAGTGTTAACGGAGGTTTGTATTTGTGTAGACGACTCGCTGTGATTAATTTGGGACGTCCCGGCACAGAGCTGGAGGAGGAACAACGTCATGGCGACGAATATGGGAAACGGAGCTCGTAATTCCCGTTTACGTAGCTCCATTTTGCTCTATAAAAAGAAACAAAAGAGGGTATATAATATTTTTTTATAGGAGAGTTAATTACTGAATCAATTGGAGGTGAAGATGTAATTAACTCCCCGATAGAATTTGTTGAGAGGGAAAGCGAATCAATAAGTAATTGTTTCTATTTATGAACGTTACATTGTAAAATATATCTACATTTAGTCAATACTTAGCATTTATCCACATTTAGTCAATACTCACGGTGAATATTGAATATCGGAATACCGCTAGAAATACATCCACATTTAGGCAAATACTTAACATTAGGTCTGAGGTTAAAGTACATGTGAAATTATTGCTTGTGAACTTCGTTTGATATAACGTCAAACCAGTTATCACAACATAACATCAACCATACAAGTAGAGATATAATGCATTATGCCAAACGAAACCATTTCATTGGGTTTTTTTTCCAAGTAAAATCTCTAACTGGCCGGCTAAGCAACATTCTAAAAAAAAAAAAAGAATGCCAAATGCACAAGAACTATGGTTAAAGCTCCAAACTTTCTCATGCGTTTTACATGATTACACCGTATGACTGAGTACATATACAAAACTACCATACATTTCTATTGTACAAGACTCCTGTACACATTTCAGTACTTAGAAATTAACATACCCTTTAAAAACCAACAACTTAGGAATTTACAAAAGTTCCTCAAATCTCTTGCGCAAGTTGTAACAAATATTTTATGGATAAACATACATAAACTTACATTTCTGTAGTTCTCAAAAATCACTAGAAATTTAAGAAGTGATGCACAGTAAAATATAAAGATTGGACCACTGTCTCTAACGTCACGCTGGATCTTCGTTTTTGTCTGATTAAGAAATTCCAACACGAGTTTTCATGTGTCCTATTAGCCTATATAATACACACTTCCACCATTCTTTAGTTACTATTTGGGACGTACTCTACTTTCCTTAAGATTTTTAACTAATATTTCTAACATGGTCTTGAAATTTGTTTTCGTAAACTTGATCAATACTTTAGAGATATGTCCTGTAATTGTCATTTGCTGGTTCACTAAAAGTAAATTAGAGCTTTTGGGCTAATTGAAAAAGCACATGCACGCTCTTGGGTCCAAGACCTAAAAACATATAAATACGCTAATAATACAGCCGACAACACGTGAAGTTCTATCAACACGTATTCAAACTCAACCGCTAAAGATTCACTTGTCCGAAAAAACAAAGGTCTAAACACATTAAATTCAGAAAAAAAAAGAAAAGAAACAAAGTACATTATCCGTACCGGTCCGGGTCGGGTCAGAATTAAGCACATCCTCTTGGAGCAAACCCGACTCGGGAACCCATTAAATCGTAAACAACCCGGAAACCCTGTTGCTGGATGTTCCCGATAATGGATAGGCCGCTCATTGTACCGGCGAACGCAAAACAGAACTTACCGTTAGTATCCACCGGAATCAGGTAATTTGTCGCCGGAAGTGACACATCAGCTCCACGGAAGTGTAGAACCACCGTCGGGACCTTAACCTCGTTTTGTTTGGAGAGATCAAAACACGTGTCGAAGAGAGAGTAATCCGGCGCCCGTTTGAGGCTCTTGGCTCCGACACGGAAAGCGTCTCTCATAGCGATGTAAGCGGGTCGGATCAACCGGGTCACAGATGTACCCGAATCAATAATAACTCCACCGTTACCTATCGGGTCGAGTTTAAAAAGAGAAGCGGCTACGCCGGGGACGCGCGTCCCTCCCACGCTTATTCCTAGTAGCTCCACGTAGTAGAAAGTATCAAGCTTCGGATTCGATAAAAGGGGAGTGAACTTAGCTGTACGTGAAACGGCGGCGTTTCCGAAGACAACGGAGGAAGGCTTCGAGGAAGCAGATCTGTCGACTAAACAGTAAGAGAACTTCTGATTAAACCGGCGACCGGTCTGACCGGGAAACGACAATCTTCCTTTTCCCAGACCTAACAAACCGGCTGCTCCGACAAAGAGACCTTCATTGTCGTGACCACACCCGACAGCGACGTTTTTAACTCGGTTTCGCCGGAAAGTCAGCGTCTCGGTGGCGAAATCGCCGACGGTGAAAGAACCGTCTCCGTACGAGACTTGGTAGAGGCAAGTCCGACGGCGCGTGTTGCATCCGGCGGAGTCTAGTCGCCGGCAGAGAGGCGAAGAGCAAGGGATGGTCGAGTAGGTCCGGGACTTTCTCGGGTCGAAAATCGGGTCGGACTGAGAGTAGCATCTCCGGCAAGGAGCGCATTGGAGCCAGACGATGTCGCTTCCGGTGTCGAGCACCATGTAGACATATCTCGCCGGAGTTCCGACACCGAGACGCGTGAAGTACTCTCCGCTTCCCTGAGAGAGACCAGAGACGACTGAGCTGCTGAAACCGCCGGGTCTCGGCGCGTGAGTGGTGTTTCTTTTTGGGATTCGGGCGGCGAGTGTGGCGATGGAGTTCACGCGCCGGGAGTCACGCTGGAGACGAGAGCTGAAGAGTTCTTCTGGAGTTCTGTTGGTGGAGAGAGTGTCGATGTGGTCGAGGTTTAGTGTTATGGACGAGTCAGAGTCGGATCCGGATTCGGATCCTATCAAAGACTCAAAAACGGGTTCGGATTCGGGTTGGAAGGAAGTGGGAGAAGCTGAAGGGAGAGAGTGAGAAGTGGGGATTAGGGTCTGGTAAGCAGGAAGGGAAGACAAGGAAGGTAGTGAGAAGAAGAAGAAACAGAGAGTAAAGAGAAAAGCTTTTCTTCTTCCTTCCATTTTCTCTCGTTTTTCTCTGGGAAAATGGCAGTGAGAGTGGTCTCTGTATAAATAATTAAACTTGAACTAGTCTTCTTGAAGAAACACACACTTTTTAAAAATATTATTTTTCTATAATAAATGGAAATGTGTGAGTGATATTCTTTTCTTTCAAATAAATATCTCTCATTTTTATCATCAGATTAAAAGCGACGTTATAGATTCGGTGGATAATAAAACACTAGTAATACGAAGTATCATGTGGTGTGGGGGAACAATACGACATAATCAGGAGATAAACAACTATGTTAATTGTTTGTGGAAAAGGGAAAAGTTTAATTTTATAAAGTTAATCATGCCCAATAATTCACCCACAATTGGTGCCATAATTCGCTCTTGAGTTGTCAAAAACTATAACATTCCACATGGGTGGAAAAAAATGACATGCAAAATTTTCTGACGAAAGATAATCTAACACGATGAGAACGCTAAGTATTGGTGTTTAAAACGTCACAAGCTTTAGATCTCACCATCTTGTTAGATTATTTGATGTATCATCGAACACTCTTTTCCACTTTCACAAAAGAATTCGATATCCAAGCTTTGGAACTTTCATATTCAATGCTTCGATATATGTTAACAGCATGGCCTAACTATCATAACGACGTTCTTCTTTTAAAGATGAATACAACAAAAATAAATCAATAATAGTTTTGAGTATATTGGGATGTGTGACACCAATTAAATGCTCTGACCAAACTCTTTCACTTTAGTATAAAGAATGTGAAATCCAGAATAAGTGTGAACAGTGTCGACAAAAAATAAAAATAAGTGTGAACAGTGAATCTTGGCTTCTCACCGTTGAAAGCATTTATTTTCTATCACACTTTCACACTCATAAATTGTTTCTCACAGGGTTTAGTTTAGGTGAAATTCTCAAATCTACGTCAAATGCTTACGAGAAAAACAAACTTTATCAAATGCTTGACTATCACACAAGAAGCACCTACTTGACGACCACTCTGGAGAAGCCATGGCCTCTAGTCTACGCGTAGTTCCAATGTGACGAATAATCAGCACATTAGGAGAAAATAACAACTAGAGAATTTATTTTTTTTTAAAATAGTAAAGAACAATAATTTGATTAAAGCCTTAAATGTAAAAGACAATAAAGCAAAAGCCACTACAAGCAGCACTTTTTGCTTTACAGTACTTACTATATGCTAAGGGCTCACTCATCATTACATTACAACATGGTGGTGGCCAACTTTTGCCTAACTCTCCACTTATCTAATGATCCCTATATTATGATAAACACTGCTTGATGATCAAAGATACACATTATGATATCTAAGTGTCTTGTTATGTGCTAACTATAACAAGTTCCATTAGAGATTTAATGTTTGTTCTTATCAGTTATCTAGGAAATCAACGGAGAAGAGAGAACATATTATTTCACCACAAGAGAAGAAGAACTGAACTGAATGAGAGAGATAGCTGGTTCTGCTAAACCGGGAAGGAAATATAACTGAAAATTTTAAAGTCTGTTGCCCAACGTACACAAATTACAACGATATTATTGAGACCGTAATGGCTAATTAGATGATATAAGTCTTAGTAACCAATTGCATCATGTATACAAATGAGCTGCCAATCGTGGCTTAGCTATAGCCCACAATGGTTTAGCCTTAGGCATAGTCATTCCATACACTTCCATCGTATCAATATTTTCCGGTGTAGTCCAGTCAAAGCAATGGAAGAGCCGAGCCAAAGCCATCAGCACCATCGTCACACCTAACGGAGCTCCTGGACACTTCCTTTTCCCTGCACTAAACGGTAATATCTTATAATCAGGCCCGTGACTTATCTCCACCCTTCCGCTGCCATCAACGGGCCAATGTCGTTCCGGTCTGAACTCGTCGATGTCACTAGTCCATACACTAGTGTTTCGACCCAGCCCATGTGTATTGATGAATACACGTGTCTTTGCAGGGATGTAATAGCCGTTGATCGTCGTTGGTCGGACAGATTCGTGAGGAATCAAGAACGGTCCAGCGGGATGCATTCGAAACGTCTCTCGTACCACACAACGTAGATAGTTTAAATGGACTAAATCCGATTCATTGACCATCCGGTTTGATCCTACAACATTATCAAGCTCTTCTTGAATCTTACGCATCACTCGCGGCTGCTTAATCACTTCAGCCATAGCCCATTCGTTCGTGACCGCTGACGTGTCGGTCGCAGCAGCTATCATGTCCTAATTACTCATGTATTACAAATATAAAACGTGAAACAGAAGACTTGATAAACACAATAACATATATATAAAGAAAAACATTATAGTATAATGCAAACAAACAAAGGAGTTTTTAACAAGCGAGTCATTTGATGAAAAGTAATGTACCTGAATGAGAGCTTTAATTTCAACGTCGTCCATGTGTTCTTTCCCATTCTCACCAGGCAAAGATAGTAAAACGTCAACAAAATCCATGTCACACTCAATATTATTGTCTTCCTTTTCCCGTTTTGCCCTTCTATGCTCCTCGATGATCTTGGTGTGAAACTTGTCCACACGCTTCTCCACGTCCCTCATTTCCTTCTCGCAGCCGTATGGATCCACCCATCTCCAGAACGGCAAGTAGTCACCCAAGTAAATAACACCCAACAGCCTAAACAACTTGTGAGTGATATGCATAAACTCTTGGGCTTCTTTTGCTCCTACCACGGATCCAGGCCCAAAGAACTGTTTCCCTAGTAGCATCCGGGTCACATTGTTCATAGAGAAAGCACCCAATACTTCCCTAAGGTTTATGGGCTTTCCGCATTCAGCTCTTTTGCACACATCTTGTATTAGATACTGAGCTTCCTCGGCTCGCTGTGCGGTAAAAGATTCAAGTCTTTTGGTTGTAAGTAGGTGTTCCATGCATATCCTTCTCATTCTTTTCCAATGCGGTCCCATTGGTGCTAACGCTACATCTCCGCAACCATACGCCAAGTGTACTGCTGCGAGTGTTTTAGGCCTTGATGCAAAGACATCGTCTTGCCGAAAGAGGATCTCTCGGATGGTATCTGGATCATTTGTTGTGATTGCATCGATGTTTCCTAGCCGAAGGTACACTAGTGGGCCGTACTTGTTACAGAGAGCGGCCATGTCACGGTGAGGTAAAGGGCCTAACTGGAGAAGGTTGCCCAAAATAGGCCACCTTGGTGGACCTGGAGGAAGCTCTTTGACGTTACATGCTGAGGCTTTTAGCCATCTCCATAGAAGAACATTCAGAAAGAAAATAGCCAACAGAGAAAAAACTAACACCAAAATCATTTTAGTCTCTTATAATTTGTGTTCGCACAGATCTTTTCATTTTTTGGTATTGTCTTTGTTGGCTCAATATATACTAACAAATAGTGGAAGACTAGTAGCTAAGGTTTTGTTAGAACTACGTACCACTTACCCAACTTTCAGAGAATTTAGATATAAACCATATATACGTCTCTTTCTTTGTGTGTCACTTTTACAAGCTACATGCCTTGTTCATGTTCTTTGAATTGGTATGTTAGGACAGAATTAGCTGTAAGAAAGAGACATTCCATCTTTGAATAAAGACATGTAAATGCTTGAAAACCATTAATTCGAATATTTTCTTTGATACATCCTAACATCAAAAAGACATGAACAGATCTAGCCTTAGTAAGACTTCTGAAGGATCATTAGCAAACGGTTACTTGACTAAAAGTTTGAAACCTGCGGAACAATCACTTTGTTAAACTCACTCTACTGAAGAATCCATATCTCAAGGAGGCCAAAAATCAGAACAAAGACAGATTCTCAAGCAAGTCCCAAGGCTTCTTTTAACATAAATAGATGCTATTTTTTTTTGTAAAGCGAGTTGTCTAATTTTGACAAATAAAAAAAAACTTCTAAAATCCTAGCCTGGAGGATTGTTACAGGTTCTTCTTCACTAAACAAACTTACTTTCCAACTTCTTCTTGTCTTGTCAAAAGGCTATCTACCTGATGATGTTCTTGACTGAACAGAAGTGGATTGCTCTCTAGAGAAAGCAGAGATGAGCTTCTCTTTAGTCACCTCTTCAGATTTGATCACAAACGTATGCAACACTATGTCCTGTGGAACTTCCAGTTTTGAATTAATCACTTCTACTTTAGCCTCTTCAAACGCATGGAACATTCTTGATACCGGATGACTATCCAACGGACAGTTAACCGTCACTGTCACATCTTCACCTGCTGTCTGAACGTTAACCGCCGGCGGTTCCAAGCAGATGAGAGGATTAGAGCTATAACCTAACTTCTCTCTTTCAGCCTCCATAACCTTAAGCTTAGCATAAAGCTCGTTAATGTAAGAGACGGCGTCTCCCAACAAGGATGCTTTGTCCATCTTTGAAATGTTGGGAACAACTGATCTTAAGGCGTAAAACCTCTGGTTAAGCTTCTCACGCCGTTGCCTCTCAGCTTCTACATGGTTCAAAGCTTCAGCTCTTCCGTTGGCAGGTCTCCTTCCGCGTTTCCTTGGTCTGTTGTCACCAGATTCATCAGCACCAACCATGTCAGCCCACTCTGCTCCATCAGAGTTATTGTCAGAGGCCCTTGAACTCGCACCAGAGAAATCAATCTGCATCTGAGCAGGAGGAAGCAGCCTATGAGATGATGATGATTGCTGCAAAGGGAGAAACTTGAAATCTTCCCTGCTCGGAGCTTCTGTCACACTGTTGTTGTTTGTCGTCCTCGGTGGGATCCATGTAGGACTCAGAAGAGTGTTGCTGTTGTTGGTAGTAGTGGTGGGATTCGAGAACATAAACCTGTTGCCATCTAATCTCTTGGCAACTCTATCATCCATTTTCCTAACTGTAAGTTTCTCTCTGAACTGCCTATGTTGCTGTTGATGATGATGATGATGAAGAAAACCTGAAGAACTGTGCAGATCCTTGCCGAATATCTTGGATGAACTAACATCATCATTATGATTATTAGCCACAACAGGTAAAGCAGCAACTCTAACAACCGGAGGAGGTGGAGGTGGGGGAGGAGGAGGAGGAGGAGGAGTTGAAAAGGAAGATCTTATAGAAGAGATAGAGTCATCACTATGAGGCAAACAAGAAGTAGAACCCAACTCAACAACACCAATATCAGTAGGAACCAAAACAACAGTCTGTATCCCAGCAGATTTAGCAAGGAAAGATCTCACACAATAATCAGAGCCAGAATTCACCAAATCAGACAACCAAACAGGCTGTGCGGAGTGGAAACACTTGCCAGGACCGCCTTGACCACGAGGGAAAGAGAAATACATTGAGGCAAGAAGAAACATCTCAGTATCCGTAACTCTATCAAGCACCAAAGCACAGTTATCTTCATCATCCAACCCACCGAACAAAGCATGAAGCTTTTGAAGCACTCTCTTCCGCAAAGTCTGATGGGTTTCTTCCTCTCTTCCCATACTCAACATTTTCATCATCTCAGACTTCTCACCGTCCTTAGGCTCTCTACAAGAACCATCTCCCCAGCAGAGCACTAAATCTCCAGACTTTGACCTCGAAACCTGCCAGAAGATGGCGTAGTTCCACGAGAAATTGGAGGAGTTTGGAGTCTCGACGAGATCGGAGAGCTTGTTCTGGAGATTGTCGTCGCTTCCAACAGTCATGAGGAGGTTAGCATTAGGAACAGAGTTGGAAAGTAAGTAATCGAGAGCCTTTTTGCCAAGTAACGATGCAACTATCGTTTTATCATCTTCGTTCCAAACGCCGCTGCTATTATTCATCTTTAATCTAATAAAAAAGATCGAAGCTTTTGTTGTTTGATTCAACGAGAAGAAAAGGACAGATCTTTTTGCAGAAGAAACAGAGTATTGTTGGTCAAAGGAAGAGGCTTTGCATGGAACACCAGAGATCTCAGATCTTGTCCTGTTTTTTTATAAACACACACAAAACTTCAATAATTCCATAAACGCAATCCTGTAATAACAACAACAAAAGAAGAATGATATATGTGTTTTTTACCAGTAAATTCAGATTCAACGAGATTTGATTTCATCAAATAGTTTTCTCCTCTCTTTCGTCGCCGTGGCTTCTCTAATTGAATGAATTCAATTCAAGCAAATAGAGAGAGAGAAATAACGCATGTTCTTCCTTTCTCGTTTATTTATTTATTTATTTTTATTTTTACTTCTCCTCTGTTTTGGAAACTATTAAACATGACTCTTTGCAACTTAACTACGGTTACATCTTAACTACCTCGTATAGTTATTACTAAACCGGGTCTGGTCGACCTACGGTTCTGTCTTTGATTTTGACATACACCAAAAGATGTATTGTGATGTATGAACAAATATATTTTTATTCAAATAAATGTCTCTTAGATTAATTGGTATTCAAGATCTATCTCTCAAACCGTATGTAGATCTAAACCCTGTATCTGACAAACTTGAATAGATTCTCTTGTCCAGCACATAATCTATTACTATAGTTTATGAAATACAAAAATGGAAATGAAACCCCCAAAATTAGTAATTTTACTTTTCCTTTACTTGATCAACTCAAAGCAAGTCCAGTGGTCAAGCATCGGAAACGTTGACCCAACCTATTCATGAGAGTAAGCTTTTCAGTTTTATATTTCTCTTTTAATAAACCATCAAGCTCTTAGTAAATGTTGTTTAGAGTCTAGCAAGAATCAATTAAGATTTTGAGTTCTTTTAAATTTCAAATTCTTCGTCGTTTTTCATATAACCTCTATTCCACGTTTATATACCAGAGGCTAAGGTCGAACAGACGTGAAAAGGCAATGCGAGCAACTACCGAGTTTTTTTATAACTCATAGAATTGCGACGTCTTCTCCGTTTGAATTATTATGGAGGTCTAATGTTTATTTACTTTAAAACCCAATAATAATAGGAAAAAGACAAGTCCATTTAATATAGAGGCTTATAAAATTCGGCAAGAGGCGTGAAAAGCATGTGATATTTACGTGGATCAAGGAGAGATAGACCAGAATGAGAAGAACGTGAGATGCATTTAATTTTCTTGGATCTTTTATTTTCAAAATAACGCCTCTACTTTCTTTCTTTCTTTCTTTTTGTGTGTTAGTAGTAATTTATCTCGCACAACAACAACTGAAACACTGTAAATATAGGTTGTTCACTATTGACATTATCATCAACTAAACTTAGGGGTCATGAAATTCTCGTATGCAAAAAGCGAGTAACAACAACTTGCTTATGGAAAATGGAGTCACGAGTGGGTTATAACATATGGCGGTGGTGAGAAAAACACAGCAAAAAGTGGGGGACCGCGTGATTCACGTGCTTAAAGAATCCTTTAACTCAGAACGCGGGCCCTACCTTTCTTAAGTCAACAACGACAACAAGACAGCTCATGTAAGAAGGGGCCAGTGTTACGGACGGATTTGTCTAAAGAGCCCATTGTTCTATTGGGTAGGATGTGGGCTGAGATAGCCGTACTACTAGGTTACCATTTCCTAATGACCCATCTACTCATATTTAGCATTTCAAATTATAATGGGCTAGATCTTCATATCTCTATCTAATATGTATAGACTATAGTTTTATGATTTTTATCTAGCAAAGCAGTAGCTTTCACTTTTAAATGATCAATTTTGGTTAGACATGTATTAAAGATTGCAAAATGTAGATTGAGAAATAAATTCGTGTAGCAACTATTGTGTATAGACGCTCTGTTGTAGACAAGACATTTTGAACGGAAACTGTTTAGTGAGAGGATTAACTGTAAACTACAGTGTGGATTCGGTGGAATGAAATTTCTAAATAAAAGATAAATTGTACAGCATAGAAATTACTGCACATCTAACTTGAATAACGACAGTTTGTTTATAAGTATGTTTAATGGAGGTTGCTTAGAGAGTTGCTTATAAGGAGATGAGTGTTTAATTTAAAGAGAGAGGGTTGCTTAGGAGGAGAGGAGTTGTTTAATTAAGCAATTTTCACACTCTCTCTCTTTAAATTAAGCATCTCTCTCCTCCTAAGCAACTCTCTAAGTAACATGCATTAAACATGCTCTAACGTCGGTTTATAGCTAACATGCATGAGGCACTCTTCGCAGGTAAATGTAATTTTATTATTTGTAAAACCTTTTTTTTTTCTTCTAGGGATCCCATATTGGCGTCCACACAATTGAATAATCAGATATCGAAATTCACTTGTCAAAATGAAATCCGTGTTTAACTTCTACAATAATCGTCACCTTTTTAGTAACAACCAAAACCTACTTATATAAAACTACTTTACATCACGAAAAGGAAAAAGCACCGACCAAAACTTAATGCTCATCGTAAGGGAAAAAAAGAAACCTAAATCTCATCGGGGAAAGAAAAAGACGTTATACACACACTGTTATTATTTCAGTTACTTCGCGTTTAAAAAACGAGCAAGTGTTGAAATTGATTCAAGCCGGTATCTGAAGACAAACTGATATATAGTAAAGCCGTAAATGATCTGATGTAAGAAGAACGAGTGTTCTGAAATTCCTTTTGCTCGTTATCTCCCGATTGAGTATATATATAATTATTTCTTCGCGATATTACATATACATGGATCAACTTTTAATATTTCCTTGTTTATATGTGTGGGATTTATTGGTTTATATATATAGACGTGATGACCTAAGAATTTTTTTTTTTTGGCTAAAATTTGGTGTTAAGAAGTTGAACCCATATACTTCAGGTGATACTTATCAAGTGACCTTTTGATGTTATTATATAAATAAATCACCGTACGAAGACGTGAGTATTCTTGTGATAGTCATATTCTTCTTGAAATTTATATATGTTTTATTCATAAACATATAATCTATTCGTGACATGGTTTACTGATATAGTATTCGTATATACCACGCAGGGTAGTTTTATTCCTTTGTAACGTTACTTTTAGTCGCACGTAAAATTATAAAAGAAAACCTTTTAAGTATTATTCTGGTTTCTGAGTGGTATATAGACTAGATTTAGACTATGGTCCCTCCGAAAATGAATCAATGCTATCTTTAAAAAGAAAAAGTAATCTCTCATGTGGACCTGCGCTACCGAAATATATGAATTAACAGAAATTAATAAGGTGTAACAATTAGGAAAGAAAAAGGGTTATTTGTAGATATATCTTCACGATAATGGCATGCATGCACAAAAAACATCACCTAATAAAGCGATTTCCATTAATAAGAAATCAACATAACATGGATCACTTTTCTTTGTCGAAGATTGTCTGAAATTTCTGGATACATATTATAGTAAACAAACGTTTCATTACGAGAGGTAAATCTTAAGTGAAAGATATGCGGTTCGCCAAAAGAAAAAAAGTGGAAGAGATGAGAATGAGGAGAGGGGGGGTTGGTAACGAATTATAGACAATCAATTCATAATTTTTGGGTCCTTTGTTAGAGAAAACTAGGAGATATTATAACATGATGTTTGTTAGTCCCTTTTCCTGCTACTTTAGATTTATAAGTCATCTTTATAAAATATAAAACCATAATATATATGCATGTTTTCGTTACGAAGTTTGAAGATATGGTGCCACGTTTGATTTATTCTTGTTTTACTTAACTACAAACATACATGATAGGGCATCACCAGTACCTTAAGCTATTGAAAACATTTCCCCACCACTCCTGAATGCTAGGAGACATAGATTTGACATATAAACTTTTTATCACTGGAGATATAAATCATAAGTTTTGTTCTTCTGCGATATATTCATAATCGCGTTTACTACTAATTAAAACTATATATATTACCGGTTGAATTTGATTCAGCTAATTAATAATCCATGGGCAGGCCATAATCCATATGCGAACAGAATAATCTACAACATAAGCTAATTGAATTATCTGATTAATTCAAACTTCACTAATTTACCATATATCGAAAGTAATCAGCGGTATTTTTGGAAAAAAGGTAGGATGATTGAACTATACTGGAGGGTATTTATGTAAATTGAATGGAGAACAGTAACGTTTTTTTTTGTTAGAGCACCCCCATCAAGGGTTGATGGGGGGAGTTCACACGCGAACCGAGAAAAAATAATAATATTAAAATCAAATTTCTATGAATCCCTCTCTCAAAAGTTCACCGCGGTGAACCCCGATGACCTCGGGTTCACCACGTGTCAACATATGATTGGTCCAAAATTATTTAAAAAAAAAAAAAAAAAAAAAGTAAACGAAAATAAAAAAAAAAATATTTTTTTATTGGTGTGAACCCCCAAGGGAGGTTCATCAATGTGGGTTTAGATTATAAATGTTGATAACAGTGTGAGATAATAAATGTTGATAACAGTGTGTGACTATAACCACATAACAAACTCTTTTAGTGTTACAAGAAAGAATGAAACTATCACCACCACCACCACTACTCAAGAACAACGACCCAAAAGCCGCGGCTTCTGCCGTTAAATCTTGCGGCGGAGGAGGCCGTAGAGAAACCTTCTCGACGACGAGGCATCCAGTGTACCACGGAGTTCGCAAACGCCGATGGGGAAAATGGGTTTCAGAGATCAGAGAGCCCCGCAAAAAATCTAGGATTTGGCTCGGATCTTTTCCGGTGCCTGAGATGGCAGCTAAAGCCTACGACGTGGCCGCGCTTTGTCTGAAAGGAAGAAAAGCTCAGCTTAATTTCCCCGACGAAATCGACGATCTACCTCGACCGTCGACATGTACGGCCAGAGATATCCAAGTCGCGGCGGCCAAAGCTGCCAACGCCGTCAAGATCACTAAAACGGGAGATGACGTGGCAGATGTTGAAGACGGAGATGATTTCTGGGAAGGCATAGAGCTGCCCGAGCTTATAATGACCGGAGGTGGGTGGTCACCGGAGCTTTTTGTTGCCGGAGAAGACGCCACGTGGGTGGTCGACGGTGACTCGTATCAGTATCAGTTCATGGCGTGTCTGTGAGTGTAGTTTTCGACTGTGTCGTATTCGCTATACGTGTGCGCTGTATCGTTATTGTGTTGGATAGATCGATTTAATGCAACTATATTTTATGCATTTTTATTTTATTTGTTTCTAGTTTTATTGTTTTATGTGATTAATAAATACATACCTTATTAGGTTTGTACGATCTTGACGTATATGTATGTTATTATATACAGTTTTGATTACATAAAATTTCTTCCCTGGGTAATTATAATTAATAGGATTGATTGTAAATAAAGGACTACAGTTTTAGGGTTTTATTCTTGGATAAACAAACGATATTAAACTATTGTTTAAAAAAAAATTAGAGCTCGATTAGTTTTACGAAAACTATGAACCATAAAATAGAAACATACATGTGTTACTATGCATATGCAAGGAAATGAAATTCGATACCTTGCATACTTTCCATTTTGGTACAATTTCTGTCATTGTTCATGCAATAGTTTTCAGACCATTATCCATATTTGATATCAATTATATGTGGTTGGAACTATATATATATACGAGGTTTTACTGAGGTTAGGACACTATTTAGATCATATATCAAGTTTAAATAAACCATGCGTTGGAAAATTAGAAATGATAACCATGTACTATAAAAATATGTTTAGCATACATTAATATACATCTAGAGTGAGGTTTAATATTTTTAAACAACACTAAAGTGTCTGAAAATATAATAAAGCATTTATCAGAAAATTTAATTTTCTCAAAGGTGCTAACCCACATATTTCAAGAAAAATTAGAAAATATTTTATTTTTGTTTTAATGAATATTTGCATCATTAACTGACATATTATGAATATTAAAGAGGTTTAAGACCTTATGTGTTCCTATTTCTCTAGAAAATAGAGATTTTATAGAGGTTAACACACTAATTAGATCGTATATCATATTTAAATAAACTACGCGTTGGAAATTTAGAAATGATAATCATGTACCATGAAAATATGTTTAACCTACATTAATATACATTAAGAGTGTGTTTTCGTATTTTTAAACAACAATAAAGTGTTTAAAAATTATAGATAGCATTTATCAGAAAATTCAATTTTTTCAAAGGGGTTAACCCACATATTTAAAAAAAAATTAGAATTTTTTTTTATTTTTGTTTTAATGCATATTTGCATTATTAACTGACATATTATGTATATTAAAGAGGTTTGAGACCTTATGTGTTTATATTTCTCTAGAAAATATAGATTTTATAGAGATTAAGACACTAATTAGATCGTATATCAGGTTTAAATAAACTATGCGTTGGAAAGTTAGAAATGATGACCATGTACCATGAAAATATGTTTAGAATACATTAATATACATTGATAGTGTGGTTTGATATTTTTAAACAGCAATAAAGTGTTAAAAATTATAGATAGCATTTATCAAAAAATTCAATTTTTTCAAATGGGTTAACCAACATATTTCAAAAAAAAATTAGAAATTTTTTATTTTTGTTTTAATGCATATTTTCATTATGAACTGACATGATATGAAGATTAAAGAGGTTTGAGACCTTTTGTGTTCTCATTTCTCTACAAAATAGAGATTTTATAAGGATTATGTCACTAACTAGATCGTATACCAAGTTTAAATAAACTACACGTTGGAAAGTTATATATGATAACCATGTACCATGAAAATATGTTTAGCCTACATTAATATACATTGAGAGTGTGGTTTGGTATTTTTAAACAACACTAAAGTTTTTTTTTAAAAATTAAAGATAGCATTTATCAGAAAATTCAATTTTTCAAGAGGTTAACCCACATAAGTCAAGAAAAATTGGATTTTTTATTTTATTTTTGTTTTAATGTATATTTGCATCATGAACTGTCATATTATGAAAATTAAAAAGTTTTGAGACCTTATATGTTCCTATTTCTCTAGAATATAGAGATTTTAATGAGGTTAGGACACTAATTATATCGTATATCAAGTTTAAATAAACTACACGTTGGAAAGTTAGAAATGATGACCATGTACTATGAAAATATGTTTAGCATACATTAATATACATCTAGAGTGGGGTTTAATATTTTTAAATAGCACTAAAGTGTCTGAAAATATAATAAATCATTTATCAGAAAATTTAATTTTTTCAAAGGTGCTAACCCACATATTTCAAGAAAAATTAGAATTTTTTTAATGCATATTTGCATCATTAATTGACATATTAGGAATATTTAAGAGGTTTGAGACCTTTTGTGTTTCTATTTCTCAGATTAAATAGAGATTTTATAGAGGTTAGGACACTAATTAGATCGTATATCAAGAATAATAAACTACGCGTTGGAAAGTTTGAAATGATGACCATATACCATGAAAATATGTTTAGCCTACATTAATATACATTGAGAGTGGGGTTTGGTATTTTTAAACAACACTAAAGTTTTTAAAAATTAAAGATAGCATTTATCAGAAAATTCAATATTTCAAAGGGGTCAACCCACATATTTCAAAAAAATTAGAATTTTTTTATTTTTGTTTTATAACATATTTGCATCATTAACTGACATATTATGAATATTAAAGAGGATTGAGAAACTATGTGCTCCTATTTCTCTAGAAAATAGAGATTTTATAGAGGTTAATACACTAATTAGATCGTATATCAAGTTTAAATAAACTACGCGTTGGAAATTTAGAAATGATGACCATGTACCTTAAAAATATGTTTAGCCTACATTAATAAACATTAAGAGTCTGGTTTAGTATTTTTAAACAACACTAACGTGTTTAAAAATTATGGATAGCATTTATCAGAAAATTTTATTTTTTCAAAGGTGCTAACCCACATATTTCAAGAAAAAATAGAATTTTTTTTAATGCATATTTGCATCATTAATTGACATATTATGAATATTTAAGAGGTTTGAGACCTTATGTGTTCCTATTTCTCTAGAAAATAGAGATTTTATAGAGGTTAGGACACTAATTAAATTGTATATCAAGTTTAAATAAACTACGCGTTGGAAAATTAGAAATGATGACCATGTACCATGAAAATATGTTTAGCCTACATTAATATACATTGAGAGTCTGGTTTGGTATTTTTAAACAACACTAATTTTTTTAAAAATTAAAGATAGCATTTATCAGAAAATTCAATTTTTCAAAGGGGTTAACCCACATATTTCAAGAAAAATGAGATTTTTTATTTTATTTTTGTTCTAATGCATATTTGCATCATGAACTGGCTTATTATGAAGATTAAAGAGTTTTGAGATCTTATATGTTCCTATTTCTCTAGAATATAGAGATTTTAAGTAGGTTAGGACACTAATTATATCGTATATCAAGTTTAAATATACTACGATTGGAAAGTTAGAAATGATGACAATGTACTATGAAAATATATTTAACATACATTAATATACATCTAGAGTGGGGTTTAATATTTTTAAATAACACTAAAGTGTCTGAAAATATAATAAATCATTTATCAGAAAATTTAATATTTTCAAAGGTGTTAACCCACATATTTCAAGAAAAATTAGAATTTATTTTTATTTTTGTTTTAATGCATATTTGCATCATTAATTGACATATTATGAATATTTAAGAGGTTTGAGACCTTATGTGTTCATATTTCTCTAGAAAATAGAGATTTTATAGAGGTTAGGACACTAATTAAATCGTATATCAAGTTTAAATAAACTACGCGTTGGAAAGTTAGAAATGATGACCATGTACCATGAAAATATGTTTAGCCTACATTAATATACATTGAGAGTGTGGTTTGGTATTTTTAAACAACACTAAGGTTTTTTAAAATTAAAGATAACATTTATAAGAAAATTCAATTTTTCAAAGGGGTTAACCCACATATTTCAAGAAAAGTTAGATTTTTTATTTTATTTTTGTTTTAATGCATATTTGCATCATGAACTGGCATATTATGAAGATTAAAGAGGCTTGAGACCTTATATGTTCCTATTTATCTAGAATATAGAGATTTTAATAAGGTCCGGACACTAATTTTATCGTATATCAAGTTTAAATATGTGGGCTAACCCCTATGAAAAACCTGAATTTTCTAGTTAAATACTATATATACTATTTTCCATCTTTCGTGTTGTTTAAAAAATACCTAAACCCACTCCAAATATTTATATATGTTTGCTTAACTTATCTTTATGGTACATGTGAGTCATTTCAAGTTTTCCAATGATTAATTTATTTAACATTCAAATACCACTTAATATGTGGATTAACCCCAATAAAAATCCTATTTTTTAGAGAAACGAAAACATTTAAGGTCTCAAACCTATTTAATATTCATTCTATGGCGGTGTATGATGCATCTATGCATTAAAACAAAAATTCTATTTTTTAAGATTTTTGAAATATGTGGGCTAACCCCTATGAAAAAGCTGAATTTTCTAGTTAATTACTATATATACGATTTACCATATTTCGTGTTGTTTAAAAAATAATTAAACGCACTCCAAATTTTTATATATATTTTCGAAACTTATCTTTATGGTACGTGTGAATCATTATAAATTTTCCAATGATTAATTTATTTAACATTCAAATACAACTTAATTTGTGGATTAACCCCAATAAAAATCATATTTTCTGGAGAAACGAAAACATTTAAGGTCTCAAACCTATTTAATATTCATACTATGGCGGTGTATGATGCATCTATGCATTAAAAAAAAAATTCTATTTTTTATAAGATTTTTGAAATATGTGGGTTATCCCCTATGAAAAAACTGAATTTTTCCTTAAATACTATATATACTACTTACCATCATTCGTGTTGTTTAAAAAATACCCAAAACCCACTCCAAGTTTTTATATATGTTTTGCTGAACTTATCTTTATGGTACATGTAAATCATTTTAAATTTTCCAATAATTAATTTATTTAACATTCAAATACTACTTAATATGTGGATTAACCCCAATAAAAATCCTATTTTCTAGAGAAACGAAAACATTTAAGGTCTCAAACCTATTTAATATTCATACTATGGTGGTGTATGATGCATCTCTGCATTAA